GGCATCATTCAATATTTTAACGAATTCTCCAGCATTTCTGGTAAAACTAAACACACTAACACTACATTATAAAATAATATAGAAAAAAAATCTATACATATTTGATCTCTCCACTTCACTCCGATGAAAGAAAGCCCATTTTGAAATAAAAAGGAAAAAAAAAAATATGGATAAGATTTTATATTCACTTCTTTTTCACCTTTACCAAACTGAACTTTCATTCGATAACTTGTGGATGACATAACGTTTTTTCGGCTTTAATTAATTCTAAATATAAAATTAATAAATTGTTGGCTCTTACTTAAAGTTGACAGATTACAATTACTTTTCTATTTGATATCATTACTTATATACGTTAAATTAATTATAAATGTATAGCAATACTTTGAAATAGTTTATTCCCTCTCCCTATTTCATACCTGTAAATCTTCATGCCATTCAGTAGGTTACGATAGTAACGTAACAAAATAAAAATCGATGATTAGATTGAACTAGTTGGGCAAATAACGAACCAAAATATACAATTGATTACATTAACTTTTAGTAACTATATTACCATTTGTTACACAAGCCAGTGTGCATGAGGCAGAAGTCTCACGTTCGGTTCTCTGAAAGGGAGATGCTACCTACTCGAGCTTTGGGATCACCCTTTACCATTATAATATGGGTATGAGATTGGAGACAAAGAAAGATCAAAACGTATCAGTTTTTCAACCTCATAAAACAGTAGCGTACATATCCCTAGTTAACGAAAAATGTTTATTTGATCGTTAAATAGTCAAGTTACACTCACGTGATATCCAACTGAAAGAGAAACATTGTCCAAAATACTTTTTATTATTATTTCAAGACAATTCAAATGATGACTTCAACTTTTATTAGGGATTCTAAAGTCAAGAAACTCATATCCTTACCTTACTTCAACCCTTCTTGACATCATGTCAATGTTACACTCAAATAAACATTTTCTTGAGGACATGGGTAGTACAGTATTAGACGAAGTCAAGGCTGCACTTAAATTTTTTTTAATGCTGAATTAATATATAAAAAAAAATCCTAAGAAAAAATGGAATTTAGCACAGGTCAGCCTAAGACTAAATCTGCGTCTAATTGGGGGAGGCGAGTGCAACAAATGATGGGTCAATAACATGAATGCTAACAAATGTTGAGGTCTGTTAGTGGAATTTAAAATTATTGGTTCCAAGAACCAGCATAGGTAGAGGTGGTGGGCCAATTATTTTACACCAAACGAAGAATAAAGGTGAATCTCAGGCTTCACGTGTCTTTCCCACTTGCATTTTCCCTTTTTTTTTTCAATCATATATTTTTTCATAAAATAATATTACACATAAATTATTATTATTATTTTTTTTAAACCTACGTTCTAGGTCAATTTATTATTTTAAATACATTTTTAACCTTTTAGTGGGGCTGAAACGGGCTCATAATATGTATTAATAAATAATATATCCACTCCTTACGTGTAATATTTCATTTTATAATGAATAATTGATGTTTGTTTGTCCACTGACATATCCCTGATTTTATTGGAGACGTGTGGAAATTGTCAATCTCATATATTTTCTTTTTCTTTTCATTTCTATCTCATTATTTATTTATAATTATTTGTTTATGTATATTTAGGGGTGTCAATTTGGTTTGTCGACTAGAACGACCCGTGACTCAACCCGAAAAAGCCCTGGCCGGCCCGGCTAGCATTTCGGTTCGTCCGAGCTTGAGCTTGCCCGTGTAGCTTGACGAGTCACATGAGTTGGCTCAGTTGGCTCGTGTCACGGGTCTTTTTTGATCCATGACGAAGCGATCCTTTTAAAGAAAAAAAAAAATTAAAAGTTGACTGCTGCCATGTCAGGCAGCTCTGCTTGTAAAGGCAGCGTCAGCTACAAATTGCCTTAAACGGGCAGCTTGCTGCTAGCAAAGGTAGCGTATGGCAAGTCTAGATTTTTTGGTCGAGCAAAAGCTCGGCTCATACTAAAAAAATCGAATTATTTTTATTCGGGTAGAGCCCAAGCCTCGAGTTGCGACTCGTGAGCGGCTCGACTCGTTGACATCCCTGTATATATTTTGCTTCTCAAACAACGTTTACACGTACTATAGTGACTTTTTAACCATACAATTAATGAACTAAAATCATTAGATAAAAATCAAGGCAATAGCAAATTCAAAAATTAAAAGATAAAAATTGTTCATTCCATTAGAACTCGAGTTTTCTTCACGGCCAAGAGATTGGAATCAAGAGGACCCTAATAATTTTTACTTCGCCGTTAGTGAATTTACACGAAAAGGAACACAAAATTTTAACAAAAAAAAGTGCGTGAAAGTTATTTCACGTTAGACGGTTAGTCGAATAACTCTACTCTCGACTAACGTTGACGTACAAATTTCACACTTTCATGGGGCTATACAAAAGTTTTTCAAACCGTTGTCCCATTTGTATTAAACTAAATATCCACCAATTATATATTTAAGATTATTAATTCACGCAATCCCATCAAACAAATTTCACTATTGTGTACAATTATATATATAAATTATAATTGTGACATTACCAACATTTGGTTATGATATGCATCCAACAAAGATTTGGTAAACACAGGTGTAAACTATTAATTTGTTAAATCCTAGGTTTATTTTAATTTTGTAAAGATTGTAGAGTTTAGGAATTTCGAAAGAACATTGAACACCTAACCCTACCCAAC